GGCGCTGTCCCCCCTGCCCGTCCCCTGTAGCTCAGCGAGCGACGGCGGAAAACGCCCCGTTTTACCCCCGGGAAGGGAGTCGCCACCTCTGCCCCAGACACCCCCTGCCCCACAGTACCCGTTTGTCCTCATGGTTACAGGCGTTTAAATCCAACGGGAGAGAGAAGCGCTCCCGGGCATCCACCTCTGCGGTTCCAAATTTAGCACCTCTGGGAGAGGTTGGTTTTGGGGACACCCTGTGTGTCCTCTCGTGTGCAGGCCGGAGGGGCCGGAGGCACCGCTGTGTGCCCCCCAGTGCTGCCAAGCCGCAGGCAGTAGCTGACAGTGGTGATCCCCACCGGCTGTTAGCTCCAGCGGCATCCCCAGGGAACGCAGCGCGCAGCGGTGCAAACTTTCACGCCGACTTCCAGCACTACAGCTGGTGAAACTTTCAGGCTTGCAGAATCCCCAGCACCGACCCTGGGGATGAAGGACACAGCTGTGCCTTCGGTGAAGTCCTGCATCTTCGGTAGCCACCTGGTCCGCTGTCTCTTCCTCCTGATGGGTGCAAAGAACATGGAAATCCCCTGGGTTTTCACCAGCCTGGCAGTGCTAGCAAGTGGGCCAAATCTGGGAGCCCGTCCTTCCCAGGGCACGGTTTCTTGGAGCTCTATTAGGTAGGGCTTTCCAGCTGGCCAGCTGGAGCTCCCAGCTGCTCCTCGATTCCAGTGACAGGCAGCATGACATTTCCTTTTAGTGTTCTCCCGCTTTTTGGCTCTACATACTCTTCCAAGGAGCGATTCCTGCAGGCTGAAATGCAGCACCCTTCAGGTCCTCTTGACCAGCAGATGGCACAAACAGTGCAGGAATGTGCAGCAGATTGCTTTGCTGTCTTAAACCAGTCACCACCGTGTTTGTAGAAATCTGAATGATTACAAACTGTGTAAGGTTCAGCCTGCAATACCTTGCTGTAATGCAGATTAAACTGCAAAACAATTACGATATTAATTTCAAAGTGCATATAACGTTTTTTTCAAAAGCTACTGATGTTAGAGATGAAACAAAAGTCATTTTTCACCATCTGTAATTGCTGTCTTGCAGAGGTCATATGGATCACCAGGATGATAATTAATTTTTTTTGCCAGAACTTCAAAATACGAATGGCGTGATCTTGTCCAGACTTTGACAGACTGGATAACAGGTCTGGCCACTGGTTTATCATGTTGAAAGGATAACTGCTATCTCCATCAGCTGCGTTTTGAAAATAAACTGACCATCCTCAGCAAGAAAGGATTTGAGTACAAAACTCCAGGGGAAGTCAGGTCAAGGCTGAATTTTAAGCAGGTAAAAGTTCCTTATCGCAACCCAGTGTAATTTAGGTTCTGGACATATTTTCTTCCTGGCTACCTTATATTGTGTCTGCAGAATGTATTTTTGAGTAGATACGGGTTTGCTCTTCCTAGCCTGTACTGATTTATACGTATGTGACTAGGTTTACTGTTTGGATCCAGATTTAGCCCGGGCATTGCTCCTTTCTGGAATATGGTCATTGTGCAGAGAGAGTGAATTAAAAATCTGGGCAGGAGGGAGCTGACACTAATACTTCCACTGAGGGAGGAGAAAATTATGTCCTTCGGGCGTGGCATGGTCCACATGTTCCTATCTTAACCGGTACTGCCAGGATCATCACTATTTTGCTTTCACCCCCGTCATCACACTCGCAGCTCTGCCAAGAATCAGGACCTGGAAACCCTGGTCAGGTAAAATCCTAAATAAAGAACTCACCTCAGTGTCCATGTTGGGTCCCAGCTGACTTGGCAAGTCTTCATGAAATTGCATTAGTGTGGCACGAGGCCCAAACTGATAAACTGTCCTGAGAAGGTATATTAGATCCCGCTGAGCAGAATATATTGACTAGGTCAATTGGCTATTATCAGCGTGGCGCACAAGGAAAACTTTGTTGCATTTGCAGATAAATTATGATCTTGCATCTGTGTAAACAGATGTCATGGCATTATGTACAGGAATTCAGAAATTACAGATTTCATTAGGTGGCAAAGTATCATGTGCTCCAACATTGCTTTGTCCCAATATTTTGTAAACGATGTTGGTTAGAGTTAGCAAAGAAGTGTGCTTCTCTGGAAATTTCAAAACATGTTTTATGAGCTTCTTTCTTTTTGTCTTTGTTTTTTCTTCAAGTTGCAATTGTGGAAAGTCACAAAAAAGAAGGCTCAGAAAGCAATAATGATAATTTTATTGTGACAGGTCTAGACAATAGTTTAAACCACTAACTCATGTTAATAGTTTTTCTCTGAAGTTTGGCAGTTCTTAGACATCATATGAATTCTCCCTGATACATGTCTCTTTTCTGTCCAATAGATTCATTCCTAATTGCTTGACTTATCAGGCAATCGTTACTAACAATAGGATTTTTCAAATGGTTATTGAGTTGTTGTCAAAATGTCTCAAATTCTCTACACATGATCTTGCAGGAACGTTTGTAGGGAATCGTGTATTGGGTTATCAAAGCCTTTATAGAGCTGAATAAGTCCATATTAGAAACTCTGAGTTTATCTCTGAAGATGAATGGTTTTAATGGGCTGCCAATGTCAGTATCTCCCAGAGTCAATTCATCATTAACGCCAAATTCAAAATCTTTGCTCCTACTTACCGTTAACTAACTTGTGTTGACTAACAGTGTAACACAAAAGTAGTCATTGATTTCAGTTGTATCATTTCACGTAGATGGTGATAATTTATACAAAAGCTATCAAAATCCCATATAGAAAGAAAAGATCATGAAACAAAAATGTGTAGTCATTTTCGGATACTAGAGTTGTGGTACAGAGCTGAATTAATGCAGACAGGTTTTATTTCCAGAAAGCAGAATCTCTGAAAAAATGCTTTTTTGATGTCTTAGGTTGGACATGAAAAAAACCACCACTGATGTAATTTATGAACATCTGCACCATTAAGCTAAAACTTTTGAACTAGAAAACTAGAGCTTTTATTGCTTGCAGCCACAAACTGGAAAAGCTTTCAGAGTTGTCTTTTAATTTTTAACAGATTATAGTTTGCCCTGCTAGATCAAATTTATCTGTCAGACAGTAATAAGTTCTGGGTAGGGACTTGGTTTAAAATCAAGTATCGGATAGATATCAGGTTTTTTCCAATGTGTCTGACTTAGGTAGGAAAAAATCTGTATATGTATACAAGGGATGGATACAAAGGTATCTGCAGAAATAATAAATTTTCCAATTTAATTGAGACATATAATTCTGAAATCTGGACTTCAGCAGAGAAAAGTTACCCACACCTGAACTGATGTAAATGGTGTAGATACAGATATATCCAGATATATCACGTAGAGAATAGATGACTTGATTTATAGAACATGTTAATGTTTACGGGGGTTAGAAATTGCTGGTGCAAATCATATCTCCATAGAGTATCATAGAATATCACTGAATCTGTGACGGAATTTAAAGTATGGCTTTGAGTTTAAGACAAGGAGAGTAAGATACCTGTGTTTGTAAAAAGCAAGCTAGGCTATTATAATCACAGTTTTGTAGGGTTTTTGTTTAATACTGCTTTCAAATAACGTCTCCCTTGTGTCATATGGAGGTATTGTCTCAGTTATAACTGGCATCATCAACACTTCGTGTAGCATGTGGAATACAGCTGGATTCAAATCACATTTGTGAGTTTTTTAGGAAATTTCTCATTTACCCCATATTTTTCAGCTGAAGCTATTCAGTGTATCAACTGTAAATGCAGGTGGACGTTTACCTGAATGTGTTCCAAATCAAATCCAGTGCAGATCTGCAGCCAGGATGAGAAAGTAGAGATGGGTTGAATTGTATTTCATAGAAGACCTTGTAGATTTTGCATAATTCTTGTGGATTTTCTGGAACTTACAACTGCTCAGGTGTTTCTGAGAAGCAGTTTAATATCTCAAAGTGTTAGGCTGTCACCATTGCCCTTATTAGTTCATTAAAGGGAATCCAATATTCTAGAGCTGGAATAATCTGGATTGTGCCAGGGTAAGGAACTGAAACCATTTTAATTGTTCTAATGAATGATCTCCTCTTTTATACACATAGAGGGCAAAAGTCTGATCTCACTATTTTAGACCTCTCTGCAGAGTTTATCATGGTTGATCGTGAAATTCCGGTGTGTCATATGAGCTGGGTGGCAGGAGTCCAGGTTACTGTGCTAGTCTGGGCCCTTCCTGAAGAGATGCATCCCACAGTGATGATCAGCTACATGCCTACCCTATTTGATCCTTAACGGCTGGAAACCCACAAAAATCAATTTCTTTGTGTCCTTTTCTAGCAATGGAATGCAACCACATTGGCAGCTGGATTCAGAGGCTAGCGATTTGCAGATAATACCCGGCCGTGTGTATTTGTTACCATCTGTGACTACATCATTGACTCTGTGATCCACCAAGGTGATCAGCTAATTGTGTGAGATTAGCTTAATTAAACTGAAGTGAGCTATATAGAGGTGATTACAGCTAGATTATGTGTCGTTTATGGGCAAAAAATCTTCAGTGTTTAGGAAATGCCACCTAGTATAAAATGCTGTAGTTCTTCCGTGCAGTAAGAGGGATTATGCATTGGTTTGCCACAGAAATTTATGCTAAGGTCAGTATTTTGTTCCTCGTCTCCAAAATACATCATCACTAGGGCCCAGCTTATCTAAAATATTGCCTAAATCTCTCTGAAATGAAGAAAACAGTTGCAATCGTAGAATCACAGAATGGTTGAGGTTGCTAGGCACCTCTGGACATTGCCTAGTCCAACTCCCCTGCTCAAGCATGGTCAGCTAGAGTGGGTTGCTCAGGACCCTGTCCATTCAAGTTTTGAGTGTCTCCAAGGATGGAGACTCCACAGAAGACTCCATCATCTTTATTCCCTCCCATCAGGTATTGATATGCATTGAACCTTCTCTTCTCCAGGCTGAACAGTCCCAGCTTTCTCAGTTTCTCCTTGTATGCCAGATGCTCCAATCCCTTTATCATCTTTGTGGCCATTTAGAATCATAGAATCATAGAATAGTTTGGGTTGGAAGGGACCTCTAAAGGTCATCCAGTCCAACCCCCCTGCCGTGGGCAGGGACATCTTCAACTACATCACGTTGCTCAGAGCCCCGTCCAACCTGACCTTGAAGGTTTCCAGGGATGGGGCATCCACCACCTCTCTGGGCAACCTGGGCCAGTGCTTCACCACCCTCAGCATAAAAAATTTCTTCCTTCTATCTAGTCTAAATCTACCCCCCTTTAGTTTAAAGCCATTGCCCCTTGTCCTGTCGCAACAGGCCCTGCTAAAGAGTTTGCTGACATCTTTTTTAGAAGCCCCCTTTAAGTACTGATAGGCTGCAAGAAGGTCTCCCCGAAGCCTTCTCTTCTCTAGGCTGAACAACCCCACCGCTCTCAGCCTTTCTTCACAGGAGAGGTGTTCCATCCC